TTTTTCTTTCACTTCTCTACGAGAAGATGTTATCAGATTGGTAACATCCTATTGTAGAGCGGTGGTCAGACGAGCTCCTAGTAGGGTATTATCTTAATTGATCGTACCTCTCTAGTGCGGCAGGTCGCCTATAAGACGTGTAGGTAATCGGTTAGGTTATTCGAGGTAACTGCAGGATGTCAGACCTATAGTTTTAGTAATTATATACTTCCACAAGTGGCGCTTGATTAAATAAAGGTACTGGCGTGATCAGCCTAAATGAAGCAAAAAAAATAAATAAATTTTTTTATTTTTTTTACTATATTCTTATAAATTTGAACAAAGAAATCTGATTAATACTTTGTTTATTTCAATATTTAAGGTTATTTTTGAATTTTATAGATTAATAAAATTTAAAAATAGTCTTAAATTTTTAAATTATCAAAGAATATTCTTGAAATATTTTTGCTTAAATTTTTTTTTTCTCAAAACAGCAATCTCATCTGTTTGTCTTTATTATTACATCAGCAAAATTTGTAAGCAGATTAATATCAATTTATAATAGTTAGGATAAATATCGATTGTAATACCCTCTAACGATTTATATCGATTACGATACTAATCGATATATAATGGCTAAGAATAAATATTAATTGTAATACCCTCAAATGATTTATATCGATTATGATACTAATCAATATATGATAGCTAAAAATCGATTATAACAATTTGAATTAATTTTTTTTAATTATGTCAGGTGTGATCGAAAGATTCAAAATATTCATTCTGCCAAAAATTGTTCATAGTTCAAAAATCGGCATAAGAAACCACCTTTTGTGCTCTATCAAAAAGTTTTTGCTAGACAATTTACTATATAAACTGCTTCTCTTTAGATTCTAACCCAATCTTTACCCTAACCTTAACGAATTTTAAGAATTTTGTTCGCGTTGCTAACTTTGTACACAAAATTTTTCTTATGCATTTTAAAGACCAGGTAGAAGTACTAATGTTATATCATGACTTATTATTTATAATAATATTTTTTATTCTTTTCAATTAAAAAGTAATTAAATTTTATTATACAAATTATGTAATACAAATTGCTAAATTATTAGCAAAACAAAAACAAACTAATTACAAATTATGCAATACAAATTGCTAAATTATTAGCAAAACAAAAACAAACTAATTACAACTCATCATCATAATTGTTATTAATATCAAGACCAGTAGCAAACAATTTATCCATCTCATTCTGTGAAAGACCACTACCTTGAGAAAAAGATCTAGGCTCGGGTTTAGGGAAAGCTTGTCACGATTTTTTACCTTGAGACAAAATCGTCATTTCATTGTCAATTATTGATTCTGCTAAATTATAAGAAGGACCACCGTTGCTATAATCATTCTACATTTAATTTAAACATTAGTATTTACAATTTAGTAGTTAAAAATAAAAAAGAATAAATAACAAATACTAACAAGGTATTTTTCAATTTGCCTTTTCATACGCTTCGGAGAATATACAATACTTTTGGATCTTGGGTTCAGGAATATGTCACATATAGCGAGTGTAAATGCACAGTGTTCATTGGTTAAAACAGAGACTGCAGCTTCTGTAAATGCAGCCCTTACAATTTTGGCGACCCAGAACATTTCTTTAGTTTTATGTTCAAATAGTAAACAATGACAATTGCTCACTAAAGAACTTTTCTTCTAGGCTACTATGATTGATACTGAGGCGTTGCTTTTAAGTGGTAATAATCATTCTGATCCAAAAACTTTCCACATTGCTGACCTAATGTGCTGCAATGCTGAATCTCTATAATTCTTTATTTTTAGAAGAAGCTATTAAAATAAAATTATAAAGAAAGTGATTAGAAACCATTTACTATAAAATAAAATAAAAATAATTTATTAAAAAAAATCTCCTGATTGATAACGTACAGCACTAAACTATTCGTGGTGAAAGCGATTGGTAAACAAGTTGGGGCTTATATTGAGCATGTATTCAGGGAGGTTTTCCTCTATGTAACTTTTCAAAGTTTCTTTAAGAACACTTTGGGTTGAGTAAATTTGTTGCAGAAATAAACATTTTATAACGCTATTATATATTTTCTGTAATTTAAAAAATTAGTATTCCATATAAACAAACTTAATAAAAAGATATATAAAACATGAACTTACGTCCATTACTTGAGGAGAAAGTTCATTTTCGTGCTTCTCCCACTTTCTTTTTAGCTTAGCCTTTATTTCACGCATATCTTCACCAAGTTGTTTGATTAACAAATACAACTGGTGATTTTGCTTGAAAAGGAGTTGGTCAACCTCATAGCAGTAACAGTGGTGGTCTTAAGGTTTCATATATTTAAAAAAAAAAGATTTTTCAACCAAAAAAAAAAGGATTTTCAACCAAAAAAAAAAAAGATTTTTAACCAAAAAAAAAAAAAAAGCAAGTAGCTTGGTATTCAAAAAAAAACAAAAAAAAAAAAATACAGTATAAAAAATGAGATTGATTACCATCATCATTACGTGATCGATTTCTATTAGATGATCGATCCTGATCCTGTGATCTACCTCTAGGATCAGGTAAATATCTTGGCAATAGAGATCGATTTTGACATTGGCTAGAGTTTTGACGAACTTGTTAGCGAGGTTGTTGGTGAGATATTTGTTGTTGCTGACTTCTACCGCTCATTTTTAAAAAATGGTTTGCACACTTAAAAATGCTTTTAGATGAATCAGATGAATCATCGTCATCATTATAAGGTTCAGAAACAATCGATTTTAATCGATTAGTGCCAAATAATTATTTAGGACGAATGATTTTAGATGAATATTGAGAATGAGTGGTATTAGTTGGTTGTTGAGAATAAGTGGTATTAGTTGGTTGTTGAGAATAAGCGGTATTAGTTTGTTGTTGAGTATAAGCGGTATTAGATGTTTGTTGAGGATTAACAGTATTAGATGTTTGTTGAGGATCAATGGTATTAGATATTTGTTGAGGATCAATAGTATTTTGTAGTGAATTTGATATATTAGGTATATTAACGGTATTAGATGTTTGTTGAGATTCAACGATATTATGTAGTGAATTTGGTGTATTAGACGAAGCCAATTGAAAGTGAGAAGCAAGAATAAATATAGCAGAAGGTGAGTTTTTTGTGTTGTTTTCTGTTATTCGAAAATTTTAAATTTTTAAAATTTTCAAAAATGTAAAATTACCTTTAAATGTTTGAATCCATTATTCTTATATAATTGTAAAACGTTTTTAATTAGATAATAAAATTAAAATCTAATGATGATAATTGTAATGAAAAGGATGATAATTTAAAAAAAAAACTTATTTGCATACTTATATAATTGTAAAACTTTCTTAATTAAATAATAAAATTAAAATCTAATGACGATAATCATAATGTAAAGAATGACAATTTAAAAAAAAATCTTATCTCATTTGCACTTTTGTCATCATATTTATAATGACAATTTTCTGAGTTTATCACGTAGCTAAGATTTGATGTGTGATTTTACATATTTTTCGGTGATATTTTGATATCAGAATAATATTATATAATATATTATTAGTTTTTGCACATGTTATTGTTTTGATAGAAATAATGAATAAATTGCTAAAATCAATATAAGTCGATAGTATCAATTTTATATCAATACATATCAAATTCCTTTTAATCCAAATTCTTATTTTCCATTATTTTTCGCTTCTGTTTTCTAAAATGCGTTGGCAATGTGAATATTGTAATCGAGAGTTTTCAAAACCTAATGCATTAATACAACATATTTCAAAAAGTTATCCTTATCTTCAAGATATAGAAAATCAGCCTGTTCCTGCTGCTGAACAATTGGATAAAGATATTTGGAATCTTCTAGAATATAGTTCTAGTTATGATTCTACTACAGAATATGACTCCAATGACTCTTCTATGATATTAGTAGGGTTGTTAATAGAGCACTCCATTGATACCATTTAAATAGTAATACTCTGGAGTATTACTATTTAAATGGCGTCAATGGAGTGCTCCATTAACAATCCTACTAATTAGTAATAAAATTTTAATAAAGTTTAGAAACATTAAAACCCGATTATATCTTATTTAGAATGAAGTTATATTGGCATCACCTCTTATGAAAACAGATATTCATTTTAATAAAGTTCTTGAAGTAAGTTGTTATAAGTGTTATTACGTTATAAAATGTTATTTAACGATTATATATTAGAATGAAGACGTATCAACATCACCTCATTCCAACATAGAAGTAGAGTATCTTTTAACAAGTTCTGAACCTCTTTTTATAGATGATGAGCAACTTCAAACAGAATCTATTGACATTGATCCAGAAGACTATGAGGATGCTTTGTTTGATGACGTATTTCATGATTTGCAACATTCACAAAACTTGAAATGGCCTAACGATGCATATCAAGAATTTATAGAAATAGTCAATAGATATCAATTGTCTAATTCTGCTGGTGATGCTTTTATAAAATTCTTCAATAAGCATTTAAATTTAGGTGTTTCCCCACTTCCTTCAACGACAAAGAGTAGAAAGGAATTTCTAGATAGTTTAACCATTCCTCATATGATGTTCAAAGAAATCAATATTAAAACCTCTCAGAGCGTTAAGTATCTATTTTACTATCGATCATTAATAAAGATTATAAAGTCTTTATTAATGATCGATAGTATAAATCAACAATTAGTACTGAACTTTGAAAAAAAAAAGAAATAAGAAATAATATAGAATGTCAGGTCTTTAAAAAGCAATATAATTGTCTCTGGTGGGAACAAGAAGAATCGTTATTATATCTTGGACAGTGATTATTATCAATAATCCTCTATTCAAATACAACAAATTTGAACCATATGGAAAAGTCATCTGGACACCCTATATTTTTATTACTTAGTAATATTCCTAGTTCCAAAAGAAATAAACCAAAATCTAAAGCCATAGTAGAATATCTTCTGATATTAAAGAATAAAGATTCTAAAAGAGAAATTTTTTAAAAGTGCTTAGCGATTCTTCTTAAACCTATTGTCAAAGCACTTGAACTTCACTTTGTCGTTCATAATAACATAATTACCTTTGTTTTACAAATATCAACGATTATAGCAGATATGGCTGAAGCAAATAAATATACTAATACTTACTAACTATCTAGATTGAATCGACCATATGAATTATGTTTGGTATCAAAGGATAACTTAAATAATACAAATTTAACCAGCATCTTGCCTAGAACTCCATATAATATGAAACAGGTAATAGATAATAGTGAAGCAAATATTTATTCAATTCATCTTGAGCCAAATGCATTTTGAAAAATAAGGTATAAGTTCATTAGTATTACTAGTAAAAAATTAAAAAATTCGACATATTGAATGATGCCATTTGATATATCGAATTTTTTAATTTTTTATCAATTTACGTGTAAAATAATAAATACGTTTGTTATATAAATATACAGTATATATATATATATTTTTTTTTTTAGCAACTTTAATATATATAAAGCTATCGTTCCTAATCGAATGCATACCTTAGACCTTGGCCTCTTTAAGTATATGTTAGATTAACTAAAAAGCTTTTACATAAATAATGTGAGAACCATGTAGTACAGACCTTTGAACAACGATTAGCATTAATTCCAAGACACCAAGGCATTAAAATAATAAAAAATATATTTGGTATAATGCGCAGTATTATAAATTCAAAAAATTTTTATTGATGCAAACGCAAAAAAAATATGCACAAAAAAAAAATTTATACGCGCATTATATATATAAAGAGTGCTGATATATGTGCAAATTTAAATCTATATGTGCTGCATCTATTGCGCAGATCTAATTTATATCACTGATAATATGCATGACAGCAGATGAATTGCGAAATTTAATGAAAATAATAATTTTTGCACTTGATAATCTATATAAAAGTTATAGGAAGCCAGGAATTAGTAATGAACGATTATGCCGCGTATATTACAAATTCCTTTGAATGTATATTGCTACGCGAGAAGAATCGTTTATTGATGATTCTTTAAGTCAGTTTCAGGTATAAAACAAATATTTAACTTTTATAAATGCTCGATTATTAACGATTAGTTTATAGGAATTCATTATTAATTGGGCAGAAAAATTTATTAAAATATTCTCAAAATATTCTTCGACTAGTCTTTAATTTCCAAAACTTCATGCTTGGTGTTATCATATAGTACCTACAATTAAGGAATTTGGGTCAGTAAACAGTATGACCACTGAGACTTATGAGACACTTCATAAGACTTACGTCAAGAGACCCTACCAAATATCAAATAAAAAGGACTATATGAAGCAAATATTGAAAGCGATATGTTTTACATATAATAAATATCTCTAATTAGTATTAATAATCAATTATGATTAGGTTAAATGGCAAAAATTAACCGAAAAAGAAGTTCCTATGAAATATCGCTGAACGAAAGGGTTTGGAAAATTATTGTGGTCCTTAAGTTTAGGAGATGTGGATGACTTCTTTCAAAAAAATATAAAAAATTTAAACCTGTTACAAGTTGAAGCCTTTCAAAATTTACTAACTAGTCTTGATGAATTTTTTGAAGAGGAGTTAACTATATCTCTTGACGAAGATAATCGAATAGAATTTTTTTCTTTTGCAGCTTTAGAAAGTACTAATATTATTCATGCTTCTTCAAGTTTTCACGGAATGCCAATGTTTTCTAATGTTGTTGTAAGTGCTAATGATGAAGAAAATTGGTATAGTTTGGTAAGTATTGGTTACATTATTTGATCTATCAATAAATAATGATGATGGTTATAATGACTATAAGTGAGATAATTCACAAAATCAGAAAATATTTTTATTATCACTAGTACGGATCAAAAAATTCGATATGTTGAATAGCAACATTTGTCTGCTATTCGACTAATGATTGACTATTAATTGAATTTTGTCAAATGGTATATTGAATGAAAATCAAATGGTGCCATTTGACATATTGAATTTTTGATTTTATTAACATAATATACTAATAAATAAAAAACATTTTATTATTTATAAGGTACTTCTAATACTCAAATTTTTTCAAGCAGTAGACAAAGAACTGTTAGAATTCGCTCTTGTCCATTGGTATGAGGAAGATGGTAAATTATAGGAATGTCCCAAATTAAAATTAGTTAAATATTACAGTTGTATACCTATTGAAAGTATAGATAGAACTGTACATATAGTTTCAAGATTTGATAAAATTAATGAATATTTAGTGAACACTTTTATGTTCTAATACTGTAATAAATATTTAAAGCGTATATCCAAATCAAGAGCTCTAAAAATATGTATATAGTATGTCATTTATCGATTGATAATGATTTGATCATTACATATCGATATTGATTAATTCGATAATAATCAATCATCAGATGCACTTCGATTTATATCTAATATTCATAATTTATTGATTTTGGACAAATATCGATTACTAATGGGACTATCGATTTTTTACGTTACTTTTTAATCAATGTTAAACGATTATCTAGCTATATATCGATATATATCGGTCAAAAAAATTTCCTGATGATAGATAAATAATTTTATTAAAAATTATTTTTTTTCATTTTTTTTTCAACTCTTACTAACAATCACTTGTGCTAATTTTTTACTAAAAGCAAATAGAAGATTCAAGACCAGAAGTTAACAACAATTTGAAGTTTTCTTGATACGAACTGCTGTTAACAAAGTTTTTAAATATAATATACTAAAGAGCAGATATTTTAGACAGTTTGCAAAGAGGTCAAGCCTTGTTTTTTTGTTTCTCTTTTTAGATAAACACTTTTTGTATTTAGTATCCAAACTGGAAAAATCTCTGAAAACAGTAAATAGAAGGTAAATTCAAGTTTGTTTAAAGACAGAAGGCTATAAAAAATTCTTGAAATAATACTCTCTAGTTGAAACTTACAAAACTATAACTATTCTTTTGCTATTTTCTTTTTTTTTATAATTTTTGACAAAATTAGGGATTTGGCTTATCTTTTCTAAAAGAATAGCATTGTTTACTATATCTATTTTTGTTAAATTAGAGCAGTGTTATTTATCATTTAATTATTTTTTATCAGAGGCTTATCCTTCTCCCCTTTAATATAAAAAAAAAATTAGATTCATATATATAATTTTAACTTTTTTTACCCCTCTTCCTCTAAAAAATCATCTGATTTTTGTCATATCCCTTATGAGTTTTGATATAATAATTGAGGAACAAAACAAATTACTCTTATTTAGAATGTACTAAGAAAGTAACTTCTGAAGATAGTGATCGAAAAGACCAATCTTGTTAATTTGAAATATAGAAAAGCATATTCAAAGTAAAGAACTATAAAAGACAACCATTTATAATTGGGGTTAGCTAAAGTGAAAAAGATTTTAGAATCAATAATTATATGATTGAGATTTTAAAATTAAATATTCTAGAATTTGAGATAGATTTAATAGAGAGTTGTCAACTAGAGTAATAATTTAGAGATATGCTTATTTTGAAATCATATGCATATAATTTTTAGCCCTTAGCACAGATTAAAATGCATTTTAGTTTATAGTTCTTTTTTTTGTCAGATAGCTCTATATATAGATTTTTATAACTATATAAATAGTTTTTATCTAGATAGCAGATTTTATATCTGAAGATAGATTCTTATAGATTTTAAAATAATATTTAGATTCCTTTATAATTTGGTCATTTTTTTTATATATTTGTTTATATTTTACCTTTTTCTTATTTTTCTTATACACTTTTTTTTCTTTTTTACTTTTCTACAAGAAAGTATTATCAAATTGTGATATTCTATTATAAGGTAGTGATTTTGACAAAGTTAGTAAAAACTATCTTTTGATATCTGAGACTTATATTCTCAGAAAGTTGAGGATCCCAAAAGAAAGAAAATTGTTCACTTAGATAGGTCACTTCTAAATTATACTTTAATATAAAATTTTGGTTTGCTAAAATTTTATTGTGATAATGAGACAGATCAAGAAAATTTTTATTTGAACAGATATGAAATATTTAATAGTTAGATAATAGGTTTAG